CTAAAGCATTTTATTATTAAACAATATAATTAGAAACATTTATTATAATAGTAAAAATTATTATAAATATATAATAGTAATTTTGATTCAAATCAAAGCTTAATATTGTTAGTTATATAACAATAAATTCAAATTGTTAATAATCACCTGAATTATGATGTAATGAAATACCATTAAATGAATTGATTAAAGTAGAGAAAAATGTTAATAAATTAAAAATTTGATGAAACATTCTTCTCATTTACAAATTATTAATTATATTTATTAAAACTTGACTAAAACTCTTCTTCTTTAAACTTTAAATTAACAGTTAATAAACTAATTTTATTTAGTATTCATATTATACAAGATTTTACTAATAAAACAAATATACAGTAAGAATATTTTATGATTGAATTGTTTAAAACAAATTTCTTATAAAATTCAAAAAAAATTATTTTTAAAAGAAGTGAAAAAAGTAATGAAAACTTTAAGGGATGAGCAGTGCTTACAAGCGATACTCACAAACGCATCACTTATTTATATGGATTATAAGAAAGCGAAGACTGAGAGAGTGTTACCTGTATTGCAATGACAACATGTTTTGCGCATCTTTTCTATGCAGTCATAGATGTGCTCTCTCTTAACGGCTCTCATATATGCTGTCAAAGATTGTGACAAACTTTGCAAATATGTCACAGGATTTACATAAGATTTGTGTCTAAGCCGTCGTGACATCACTTTTTATATAGTTTTTAGTTTTACGGAAATAAAGAAAGTTATAGAATAGGCGACAGAAAAGTTGACAATAAGTTATACAAAGTGTTGATTTATTGCATTTCTTAATAAACATAAATTTAGTTGTTTTTAGTGGCAATAAAAATCAAATTGATTATAGATTTAGGGAAGTATTGATGGAATGGAAGAAGGGATGAGAGTTTGATATAAATATAAGTTATATTATATAACACAACAGTGACTGACACAACACTTTACGGTTATTAGACTTTTTTGTGAGGAAATATCTCATATAAATTGATTGAAGTTGGAGTCAATGTTTATTACTGTCTAATATTATTACTGTCTGTTTGTTAATGTATTTTTGAAATAGTATTGTATTTTGAGGTATTTAAGTATTTTTAACCCAAATTGAGATTCAGTTGTAAAGTAAACAATTTTGTCCCAAGAATTTCAATTATGCGAGACATTAATGTCATACAAATTACACATTTATTTTATTTGGGAAAATCCTTCCCTCAGGACATGACATGTTGTGCGCTATTATCGAGTGAAGGACTCATATATAATATAATCCAATTAAATGTTTAGTTAACACAAATTGCATTCAATATACGTTTGTTTATGAATTTGTGGCATTTTTATTATGAATATTTGTTTTTTAATTAACAGAATCTCTAAATAAGGAAATTATAATAAAAATAAGACTTGCTTTTAGTTTCGTTGACTTTTAGACGTATTTTCCGTTAAAATCCGAAAAATGTGTGAAGTTTTTGATTTGGAGTTTATTAGTCTTTTTCTTTCACTGATATTATCGTAATAATCGGTCTAAACGTGTAGTTCAGAGCCCTCTTCTTCTTCTACATAGTTTACAACAACTTTATTACGGGTTTTCCCAAAAAGTGGCCAATCATTCAAAAGGGTTACCAATTTGATGATAAAACATAGATTTTACACATACTTTATATAAATTAAAAACATTTTCTTACTTTTTAAAAATGACAGTATTTCGTAACCTTTGACACTAAACACACTATTCATTTGTTTTTGGATATAAAAAATTAATAATTTTGTTTATATCGTATTTAATACAGTGTATGAAGTGCTAGAAAAAAACAAAATTTTTTTATCGTTTTATATATTAGTTTGATTTTAAACCACAATTCAGTTTGATTAATGTGATTTATAGGATAGTTTGACCTTATTCTAATTTTAAACCTATTCTTTCGCTTCACCCGAATTGTGGTTAACTTATAGCATCGTGTGTAAACCTTTTTTTCGAATTGATATTTCAATTATATGATAAGTTTTAAATCAGTTTCATTGTTAATTGTTGAATTTTTGCAATATGTGTAGTTTTATTTTTAATTTTAAAATTCATTTGAAATATGATTACTATTATTTACTACAATACAATACATGTAAGTAATTCATTTATGAAAAATGTGGTTTATAGGATCTATTTGAAAATGGCCAGCCCAACATTTCTTGACCGTCGTGTTATAATGGATTTATAAATCTATTGTAATAGATCGATTATACTGCATTTGTGTTTCATTATAGAATATTAGTTTTGGTCACATTACATGTATTGGCATAATCGATAAGTCTTTGTCTTCGTATAGATTTAATAGAGATATTTTAACCAAATTAATTTTAAAATTTAATGTAACATTCCTAGGCACCAGATACTAAGTTTCATAACGATCGGATGATAGATGTTTATACAATAAATTTTTAAACAAAGTCAGGCAAAATAATGTATTCCTATGGGAAGGCGCCTGTTTTTGTGATTACCGACGCTTAAAATCGCATGCAAATTGACCATGCTCAAACCATAATAGAGATAATTAAAAATCCCTACTTTTCCAATATTGTGAATATCTAATGTATACATCCATAGCATATTTAATGGCCAACTCTGACCGGTGCCTGAACTGTGGCCACTTCATTATCGGTAGTCGACCCGATTGGCGGCCTGTGTTCGGTCGGTTTGCATTTGATTCCTGTTATTACAAATGTCATGATTACTGCTCTAAACTATTGTTGAATAACTAATAGTAAATACCAACAACAAAACAATAACTTCCAACATACCTTTTGCAAAAATATTTTTACTTTCAAAATATGTTATTTTTTGATAAAAAATAATTCCGACTGAAACATTTTAAAAATTTCCTGTATAAAGACCAATTATCCGATCGTTATGAAACTTGGTTTCTGGTGCCTAGGAATGTTGACTTAAATTATAAAATTAATTTGGTTAAAATACCTCTATTAAATCTATACGAAGACAAAGACTTATCGATTATACCAATATTAATTTGAAAAATCACTTTTCAATGCATTGCAATTGCATTAATGTGGTTAGAAATGTAACCATAACTGCATATTTGTGATTATTTTCAGATTCTGTGATCGGACTACAAATGTATCCACTATTGCCATCACCACTACATTACTCCCATCGTAATCATCGCCGGAGTAAACGTTTTATATTTTAAATTATATGTTATTTTTTAGTTATTTAAGTGAACATAAGGCACACCATTTGATAAACAGCAAAACTTTTTTGATTCCTAAGAAATAATTTTCATTACATTGTAATTACATTACATTTATTAAATAAATTTTATTATTGTAAATCTATAAATTATAGACTAACATATGATCGCAATCTTTAAGCTTTAACGTATAACATCTAGGTTTAATTCAATATATTGTTCCAATTTTCAATTCTAATTGTCCCAGGTCAACAATTTGTGTCCAGAAATGTAGATTCCAGACATAATAATTATAAATTGTAATTATCTAAATTTATATTTTAAATTTTGTAATTAAGTAGAATTAAATATTTGCCTTAATAATTGATTTAATATTTAATATGATTGCAAATATTGTTTCAATGATAATTTTACATAAATTGACACAATTTGATACATATTTTGTGGACAATTCAACTGAAGTTGTGTTTAACTATATTAATATTTGACATTTTATCGATATTCACTGTTTTATGATCTTATAGTTGATGGCAATTAAGTTATAATACATTTACTATAACTATAATAAAGGCAATAAACTGTGTATTAAATGTTTGGTCTGTTTTTGCTTTCAATTCTTTGCTTTTTTTGTTACATTAATACTTCTCTATTATTATTGCGTAAATGTCTTGTATTTAAAGGATCTATTGAACCAAATGTAAGGCTTTGTATGCATTAATACTAAATAAATACAAATATTTATCGTATCTTTTATTTGTATTGAAGTGTTTTTATGGCAACTCTATTATGAAAGCATCACAAATTAAAAACAAATAAAGATATTAATATTTTGTGCACTTTTATATATTAATACTGTACATAAGGTGTATTTCACAAAGTAAGTTCGCACTTGGGGGAGGGGGTATTAGACAAAACAAACTTTTGTGAACTAGGTGGAAAGGGTATAGAGACCTTATGAACGTTCGCAAAAGTTAATCTTTTAATAACAAATGTTAAATAAATATACAGTGTAAACCTTACATAATATACAGTATCTCTAGAGCAAAAATTCTTCGGGAACTCCTGAATAAAATTAGTTAATAGAATGTTCGAGAATAATATTCATTTAGTTTTGGAGGTTATAATGGAGTAAAAATATATCATTTTTATTTTCCCGAATACTCTCGATTTGAGAATATTCCGATTTTGACATTTTAGGGGAGAAATCCCAAAATTGTAAGCAAAATCGCACTTTTCAAGAAATATTTAAAATATTATTATAAAAATTTATAAATTTTGAGATAAGATGTCTAACAAGAATGCACTACAAAGGAATACGAAAATGTAACTAATTTTATCATATCCTTTAACTGACTGTGTTATCCTGTGTTCATTTTACATGTTCTTGAAATTGCATTAAATTTTTATTTAATTACATTTAATATTTTGATAATGGAATACCATAGTCATACGTTAACGTAGAATTTAATTTAATTTGTACCATTTGCTGTAAATATTTGCTTAAAAATTAATTTCAATCTAATTTTAATTTTTAAGTTATTAATTTTCTAATTAGAAAATGTATTTTTGAACAATTGGGCTTCGAGTAAATGTCATAATCCAGTATCTTGATAATTTAACATTGAATAAATAAATTTTATAATGTGACCATGATAATTTTTATATGAAAAATTATACATATCACGTTTAAATATTTTATAAAATATTAATCTAACAACTTTTGTATATATTGTCTAGATTCTAGAACAATAAAATCTAGTTAATATACTATCTGATTAAATGGATGTATCTGGCCATTCGCGTATTCTTTTCTGAATATGTATTTGATCAAGCTAGATTCAAAATACAATAACATTACGTCCAGTATATCACAATCAAAGCACATATACCTGTATTTACTGTTTGTACGCTTTACAGCTATATTGCGCTACAGTTTCATTGCAATCAATGAAATTTCCTGTATTTTAAAAATATTAACCTTTAAATTAAATTAAATTAATAAAACTAAAAAAGACAGAATATAGTCGAGTATAGACTACTCGAAAGGATTCTGTTTCTAGAAATAAAAATCCCTATAGAGGACGATGTGGTCACCCTATGATGCACTACAAAGTTGGCTGTAATTGATGTTTCACTCACTCTATCGTTGTTTACAAACGAAACTCCCATTCAATGCAAAGTGTATTGAAAAGAGATTTTCAAAACATTTCATAACTTTTTACGCATACATTCATTGACCACAAAAAGTGAACCAATCGTTAGTTTTGAGACCTATTGTGATGTAATAGTAGTGACCATTAGTTCCCACACATAGACCACAACATGACTGAAATGCTGGAAAGCGTTTCCCACATCTTCACGTCTTACGTGAATAGTCACCAATTAATTGGTCCCCAAATATCGTTGATATTATTGTTGGCGACGATTGTGTCGGCGGTTGTCTTCGCCGTGAATGTGGTCCGAAAGTTACGGCCAAAAGTGCGGCGAATGACACGAGTTATTCTTCCGGACCCAACACTTCCGCGGTTTCGCAAAAGAGATAAAGTCTTGTTTTATGGCCGAAAAATGTTGCGATCCGTCCGATCGTCACTTCAGGCCACAGGTATTTCACCACTCATTGTCACTCAATTGTATCATCCATTTAATGGTTGTGTTAACTCTTGTCCTCATCTCAGGTCGACTTCGGGGCAAAAAACGTCAAATTGTGTTACGATTTGCCAAACGATTGCTTCGGATTAAGAGAGACCAGCCGTTGACTCTTCAAGTGAGCGAACCCTCGCAGGCCTTTCTCGAGGAAGAGATCGGCGATCAGTGCGAACAACCACTTCCTCCTGAAGTGATATATATGTTGAAAAGTATTCGTGTCTTTGGTTTCTTTGATAAACCATTGTTTTTGGAATTATGCAAAAATCTTGAGTTCTTAACGGTTCCGAAGGGACAGAATCTGTTCTCAATCGGCGATCCCGACGACAGTATATTCATTGTCCAAACGGGACGACTTCAGGTCTCAATCAGCGAATCCGATGGAAACGAACTCATTTTGAAAGAGGTTTCTGTGGGAGAATCGATCGCTAGTATGCTTTCGGTGATGGATGTGTTGACCGGACATTTGGCACCATTTAAGACAGTTTCAGCCAAAGCCATAGAAGAGAGTGTTATAATTAGATTACAAGTTATTCTATTCAAACAATTGTTGGAGAAATATCCGGAATCATTGGTTCGTGTGGTGCAAGTGATTATGGTTCGCCTCCAAAGGGTTACGTTCACTGCATTACATCATTACTTAGGACTCACCACTCAATTGCTTAACCCGGGATCCATTTACAGGAGGCCCAACGTTAGTTCCACTATACAGCCTCTGCCGTCAATGGGCTCGAGTCCACCCAAATCGAGTCCCACCCGTCCCTCCACTCTCTCCGCGTATACTCTGCAACACTCGCACTCCTATTCGGGAAGCGAATCATCGGATTTGAAACAAGTGTTAAAAGAAATGGCAATTTGTGAACAAAATGCAGAACAAGACCAACATTTGGACGAATCGCCGATCACTGAACACAAACCCATTGAAAGAAAGAAATCAGATATGGATTCGCCGCGAAGACAGAAGTCTTTGAACACATTCTTCGGTCCGCCGGAGAACCAAAAGATGAAACGCCGGAAGTCTTTGATTCTCAACGAAAATCAAATCCAGATTCAGGGCTTATCTGACGACGAGATCTTTAATCTAGCGGTTGAGGGACTTCTCCATCACTTGAATATAGAAGACGAAGAACTGGTGAAACGGAAACTGACGGTTAAAGAATTTGGTTCGTGTGGTGCAAGTGATTATGGTTCGCCTCCAAAGGGTTACGTTCACTGCATTACATCATTACTTAGGACTCACCACTCAATTGCTTAACCCGGGATCCATTTACAGGAGGCCCAACGTTAGCTCCACTATACAGCCTCTGCCGCCAATGGGGTCGAGTCCACCCAAATCGAGTCCCACCCGTCCCTCCACTCTCTCAGCGTATACTCTGCAACACTCGCACTCTTATTCGGGAAGCGAATCATCCGATTTGAAGCAAGTGTTAAAAGAAATGGCAATTTGTGAACAAAATGCAGAACAAGACCAACATTTGGACGAATCGCCGATCACTGAACACAAACCCATGGAAAGAAAGAAATCAGATATGGATTCGCCGCGAAGACAGAAGTCTTTGAACACATTCTTCGGTCCGCCAGAGAACCAAAAGATGAAACGCCGGAAGTCTTTGATTCTCAATGAAAATCAAATCCAGATTCAGGGCTTATCTGACGACGAGATCTTTAATCTAGCGGTTGAGGGACTTCTCCATCACTTGAATATAGAAGACGAAGAACTGGTGAAACGGAAACTGACGGTTAAAGAATACAATTCCGGCGTTTGTCTCACCAGTGAAGACACACACGAAGAGAATAACCTGTTTTACGTATTGAGCGGTTCTATAATAGTAACGCAAAAATCGATTGATAAGGACGAGGAGAACAACCTTTACGTTGTATATCCCGGCGAAATAGTGGGCGCTCTGTCTGTGATCACAGGCGAGCCCTCTCTCTTCACAATCAAAACCCGTCAGTCCTGTAAAGTGGGAGTCATTACTAAAGACAACATTTACGACATCCTTACAGAACATCCCAAATCTGTGCTCCATTTGGCGCACGCAGTGGTCAGACGTTTGTCGCCATTTGTGCGACAAATAGATTTCGCATTGGATTGGATTCACTACGAGTCCGGACGTGCTATCTATAGACAGGGAGATAAGTCTGACTGCACTTACATAGTATTGAGCGGACGATTGCGTTCAGTCATCACTCGACCCAACGGTAAGAAAGAGTTTGTCGGCGAATACGGAAAGGGAGATCTCGTGGGACTCGTCGAAGTGATTACTCAAACACCGCGTTCGACCACAATAATGGCCGTCAGAGACTCGGAATTGGCTAAATTGCCCGACGGTTTAGTTGAGGCCATTAAAATTAAATACCCAGTTGTGGTCACTCGACTGATCCACTTATTAGGGCATCGATTGCTGGGAAATCTTCACCACAATGTTCGCGGGCCAACGCATTCGTTGACCGCTCAGCCGTTCTCAGCGGCAGAGATGGGTTGGCGTCCGACCGGTTCTAACTTTACAACAGTAGCCCTGCTATCAGTTACAGATGACGTACCCCTTCAGGCATTTACGATGGAGTTATACCACGGACTCACATCCATTGGAACCGTTTCTCATTTAACTTCAGAGTTTGTGCGCAAATCGTTAGGTCCGACAGCGCTTGAGAAGCAGTCGGAATACCGGCTCTGTTCGTGGTTAGGACAACAGGAGGATCAGCACCGCATAGTTCTCTATCAGTGCGACAATCATTTCTCGACGTGGACTCAGAGGTGTATACGACAGGCGGACTGTATATTAATGATAGCACTCGCAGATCAGGAGCCGTCGGTCGGCGACGTTGAGAAGCAATTGGAACACTTGGCCGTCAGGACACAGAAAGAGTTGGTTTTGTTACATAAACCCGATTCACTCAAACCCAAGAACACTGTTCTGTGGCTAAATATGAGGTCGTGGTGTTCATCACACCATCACATCCGATGCCCGAAACGAATGTTTACCAAAAGATCTCTGGCGAAGACCAAAGAGGTTTACTCCTCGCTCTTCAATAATCCGCCGTCAATTCACTCAGACTTTTCACGTTTGGCCCGTTTTCTCACCGGAACTTCCATTGGCTTAGTATTGGGTGGCGGAGGGGCGAGAGGGGCCGCACACGTGGGTATGATTAAAGCCATTACTGAGGCGGGAATACCCATTGATATGGTGGGAGGCGTTAGTATCGGAGCTTTTATGGGCGCCCTTTGGTGTCAAGAGAACAATATAACCACTTTTACGCAAAAGGCTCGCGTCTGGTCTCACGGCATGACCTCATACTGGAGGCAGATCTTAGACCTGACATATCCCGTGACCGCTATGTTTACCGGACATGCGTTCAATCGATCCATATATGAGGTGTTTAACGAGGGACAAATAGAAGATCTATGGCTCCCATACTTCACACTAACCACAGACATCACCAGCAGTTGCCCGCGAGTCCACAGACATGGCTCTCTTTGGCGATATGTGCGCTCAAGTATGTCATTGTCAGGCTATTTACCCCCGCTTTGCGACCCAATCGATGGTCACCTTCTACTTGACGGCGGATATGTAAACAATTTACCGGCGGATGTGATGCGCGACGTGATGGGCGCCGAGACTATTCTGGCCATTGATGTCGGCAGTCAGGACGTGACTGATATGACCAATTATGGCGACACTTTGAACGGCTGGTGGCTGTTGTGGAAGCGCTGGAACCCATTCTCATCGCCAGTTCGAGTGCCAAATCTGCCTGAAATACAGTCGCGTTTGGCTTATGTTAGTTGTGTTAAGCTCTTGGAAGAAGTGAAACAAAGCGATTACTGCACATACATTCGGCCGCCTATTGATCGCTACAAGACTTTACAATTTGGCAGTTTTGACGACATAATGGAAGTGGGATTAAATCACGGGAAAGTGATGTTCGCTGCCATGCGTTT